ACTTTTCGGATTGACTGTATAGCCAATACATCCTTAATCGACGTAATGTATACTTTCCTTAAGTTGATGTCTGAGGAAAAAGTGATGAATTATAAATTAGGTTTACTGAGAACGAGCATAGGACGTTTATGTTAATAGGACAGAAAGACAGAATAAGTCGGAGTGTTGGTTTGTATAGCACATATATTTGCGTCCATACAAATATATACTATATTACAGAATATAAAGGTATTCCAAAATTAATTCACTGATCGTAATCAATAATGAACGAGAATGAAAAGCGGTTAATCGAAGCCTGTTACGTCGAACGAAGCACCGGTGAATCGAGTTTGGCAATACCTTTGTATTTGCAGCCGTCTCCAGGACGGCGCTATGTCTCGAGTAAAATTATATTGCTCCTGAATTCTTTACAAATAACATGTTCTTCGTCTTACGTACAATTACGCGGACGCGATAGCGTCGGAAATCGGAGTTCTAATCGTCAGCGAGGATTTAGGAGAACGTTACAAAACGTTACATTGTGCGGAAAGCATAATTGCCACGTAACGGAATTGGCGGAATCAGAATACACGTATTGCACTGTTCAAATCAACGTGGAACCGCGAGCAACGACTCGCTTGAAACGTTCCTCAGGGTAGAAGTTATTTAATTATCAAGGACGGTGTTAGCTCTACGTTCTGGGACCTACGATTTTAAATACAGACTCAATACGTTCTATCCATATTAACTTCGATTACGGAATCAACTATCGCCGATTAAATACATCAGGACTGGTCGCTGAGCGAAACGAAATCCCAACGAGAAAATGATAACGAGGAGCCATTTACTAATCGTAAACGAGGTGCCGCGGACCTCCCGGTCACGATTTCAGTCAATACTGTCGCGTATCTCGCGCAGTGTAGATAATCGACCCTACGCTATTACATCTAATGAGATCAGGATTATTGCGAGCTACAATTCGAACGGTTGGGAAGGGGGAGTAAGTCGAACGTCGGTCGGACGTTCCTAAAATTATCATCAATCGGAAACGCTTCTTTCTCTTTCATTTTCCCCGTACGTGTGACACAGATCGAAAGGTCGATAATCATCATCATAATCATCATTACTATTATTATTATTATTATGAAAGTTTGGCAATCGATGAGGCTCGAAGAAGTGGTCGACAGACTAGTTCCAGTCATCTACGTATCCCTGTCCGCTACGATTAGTTCTTACAACGATTAAGTATAATCGATACAAAAGCTAAGTCTTCTCTGTTGACGATTTTTGATTGGAAATATCACACACGGTCTGATAGAACGGGAACACGGATCGCCACTTCTCGCGCGTCGAACATCACGCGTGGTCATCTCTAAGAAACAATTTCGTCCGTCCGTTATACATACACGTACGTTACAATGTATATAATAGGATGCGTCGTATATAATAGGAGGTACGTATACTATACATTCTTATTACACGAAAAAATCGATCTCGAAAATATATATAAAGGTTGAACAGACTGTCGGGGAGAAAGGAACCAGCGCATCGCATCGAGTGACGCTCGCAATCCAGAAATTATTATTATTATTATTAATTATTAATTATTAATTATTAGTTATTATCGTTATTTACAATAAAGTATGTATCTCGCGCTCATGTCTCACGCGAACTCACACACGAGCTCATCATCAATTATCCTTCCGCTTCTGCACAATTTTACGTCGTCGATGATCTCTGTTAAACGAGTAGCACTAAAATTGCCTAGTTCCGGGTAAAAATTCAAGGAACGTCGAGCGTGAGTGTATTTTCATTTTCTTTAACAAATTTCACGCGGTGCGCGCGTGCCAGTCTTTGTTTCTTGCGTTCGCACACGCGCCACGTGCCGCAGTCTTTGGTCGATTTAGCGAACAGGCGAACTGAACTTGATAGGAACGAGGGAAGAGGTTCACGAAGCACAGGCCTCGCTTCCAAACGGATCTTCTCAATAATTGGTCAGTTACTACGTTCATAAGGACTGCGGATTTTTACATAGAAAATAAATAAAAATTCATTTAATCGCTTAAACATTGCAAATCTCCTACTAGCTTATCGGTTTCTGTGTATTCAACTCTAAATCGATGAAATCCGCAGTTTATGAGGTACTTAACGGAAACAGGTTTTCTTGAATTGATTTAGAAACACGTGTAAGTACATGGAATCGACGTCGGTGAAACGGGTGTTCGCGTCGCTGAACGAGTGACGTTTGGAAGCGAATTTTTCGATCAACTGAGGATTCTTTAGGGAGTCGACTGACCTTGACTGGTCAGCGTTCTCGATGCAAGCTTGCCGGAGCCAGTCGCGTAGACTCCACGTTCTCTCCATCAGATTCGAAGAGTTCTTCTCTACGGTGCAAACGCTGGTCGTGAACCCGCTGTTAGGGCCGTATTGGGCGATGATGTTCTGCGTGATCGGCGGTTGCGAGCCTGTTAACTGAGACAGTATGTTCGACTGAATATTCGGAGTGCCGAACGTTCCTGCGAACATGGAATTATATATGATCAGTAGAAATTTAACGCAGATTTACTGTAATTCGTTAACTTCTTGCCGCATCATTTAGCTCTTTTCAGGTTGTTTTTTTTTCTCCTCAGACATGAGACTATGAGTCAGACTCGCTGATACGTTAGAAATTAAACTATGATGACGAGTCAGGCTCGTTGAAGTACGGCAAGAGATTAATCTGAGGCGTAATAAGTATTCACCTTGTATATTGTTCGACTGAGCCGCGAGGTGGTGGAAACGTAGCCATCGCAAATAAGAATACATCAGCGTGGGCGGTGGCGGCGCGTCCGTGTCCTGCCGTTTATTCAGCACGCCCCAGATCTCACGTATTTCGGAGTTTAGGTTTTCCAGGCTTGCGATGATTTCCGTCGACTCCTGGTATTGATCCGGTTTGTCTGAGTACGGAGGATCAGAACCAAAAAAGACCGAAGACGAATCTTTCAGTGAAAGAAAATCAACGAAAAATAAACGAGTCGAACGGAACTTAAAAAAATCAAAACCAAGCGGGAGAGAGAAAACGGAACCGAGAAAAATTCGAAGGGGAAGCGGGGGTGGGAGCTACTCACCTATGTCTGTCACCAAATCGGTCGAGCTGACACCACTGCTCACGCTGGACATGTCGCTCAATGTTAAATCGTCGTTCTTCGACGACGTGTCGTTCTCGTTTTTCTTCGAGTTCACCATTCTTTCTAAAGACTGTTCCAAGTGCCTGAGGTGGATCACCTTCTCGCCCAACAGGCTCTTGGTCCGATGCAAGTTCACCTCCATATCCGACAGTTCGCGTTCTTCCTAAAATGTGAATGTAAAAAATGTCATTTAAATGAATACATGCTAATGAGAATAGATAAAAATTAATAATTATTTAAAAAACAAAAAAGTACCTGAACCAGTTGTTCGAGCGTGGCGCTCGCGCTGCGCTGCTTCCAAGCTTTCTGACGTCCCTGTAAAAGGTTCTCCTGGTGCCTGAGCGCCTCCCGTGCCCTCTTCACAGAGTCCCTCTCGACGTGAATCCGGTGCCGGAAGAATTCGAGCTCCGACGAGGCGTTCGCCGGGGCTAAAAAATCGAGCAGAATCCTTTTCGACGAGTTTTACGCGCTACCGTCGGCGGTGAACGCGGCGTGCGTGAAAATAAGTAACAGAAACGGAAGAGAACCAAGGGAACGAAAGGCCGGCGGTGGTGCAGTCACGAGCAGACGGAGAACAACCGAAAGTTACCCAAAGAAAAGTGTATATATGCCTAAAGAAATAAACAATCATCTATTTCCATTCCTTATAGTAGCATAATCGAAGCGTCAAGCTCGATGAAATTCTCCCTCAACTGGACACATACATATATGCAAATTTCGTATAGAAAAGATCAGAGAAGTATAAGCGGACTCACCTTTGTCTTGAAAAGGATAGCGCAGGGTGTAGGCCGTTTCGTTGCTTGGCAATTGGTCGCCGAGATCTTCGAGTTTCTCCAATTGCTTCCTGATATTCTCCACCGGGTTCTCCAGTTCGTTGTTATTGACGTTGTTGTTGTTCCCAGCGGTGGTCGACAGCCTCTTGAAACTCTTCTTGGTGGTGTTCGCGTTCGCCTCGCTGGTCGAGGTCGCGTCGTCGGTGTCGAACTTCAGGTTCCTCGCAGCCGCGCTCTTCTGAAACCCCGAGTTCGCCTTCTGAACGTGCGGCTCGTCCGGATCGTGGGATTCCTCGGACCGCTCGTTGCCGGTCGGCTCGTGCGGTTTCGCGTGCGGCGTCGTCGTCGTCGTCGTCGTCGTCATCGTCGTTGCCAAGCTCGAGCGTGTGTTTCGTAGTTGCGGGGTACTGCGAGTACGATTTAAGGCCTGTAGCCAGATATTAGGGCGAATCGTATGAGCGTGAGAGAGTACCTTCACAGTTTATTTAATTTCGCTACGCAACTGGACGGACGTACATAAAAACTTTTTACAAGACGATCAATGGAAATTGACCGAGGGGATATATGTATATGTATATGTACAATACGTGGGGTATGCAACTAAAACGGGGTGTCAGGCGGCGACTGTGAAGATACTGGAGTTTGGTGACGTGGATAATGGTTGTGCGACAGCTTAGAGCTAGTACAATGAACACTTGTCGGTTTTTATACACAGGTACATAGGTAACACGTAGAAAAACCATGCTCTCCCTGATTTGTTAATGTCATGGCACGTACAAGTGGTTCAGAGCGCGATCCAACGTGTCAACCCTTTGCGACTCAATTCGCTTCTCTGATTTCACGCGCCCTCCTCTTGTATGACGCCGCTACAATGGCGCGACAGCCTAAAATGTTTCAATGAAAAATACCGAGAGTTCCTCGAGCACACTGTTTTAGCCAAAAAAACGGTCGACCTGAGTGAAATCGTAGCGAATCGTACGGGAAAGCCGGGAATAATCGACTCACCTCTGGTCGGACGACTCGGTCCGCTCGGTTCTCGTTCGCGTGGACGTCGACCTCTCGGTCTCCGATGCTGTCGTGTAGCTCTCCTTTCGCTTGCTCCTCCTCTCGAGCGCCGCGCGTACCTCTTTCTTCAGTTTCATGTACTTCTCTTTCAACGCCGTGTACTTGTCCTGCAGCAGCCGCTTCTCGCAGCGCATCTTCTCGAACTCGATGTTCTCTTGATGGATCGCCCGCTCCGCGTGCTTCCTCGACTCCTTCTCCAACTCCTGCGCGAACTCGGCGCGAAGCTTCTCCAGTCGCTGTTTATGCATCTTCCTGGTCCGATCCTCCTGAAAATCGCGAAACCACGGAATACAAATTTCTGATCTTTTCTGTAATCGATAGTTAATTATGCTTACGGTGATTTTAAAATCGCGCAAGATTTCGCAAAGGTGTTTCTCATGCTCTTCAGTGATCTCCGCGATCTTCTCCTTCTGCTGCACCTGAAGCTGGGCGCGCAATTCTTCCAACTCGTCGTCGAATTCTTTCTTCAACGCTTCGATGTTCTCCGAATGCAATTTGCTCAGTTCGATCCGATTCAGTTTCGCGTGTTTCTCATCGCTCAAATCGCGCTCGTGCTCGTCTTCTAGTTTACCCATTTCCTTGATTCGTAGTTCTAATAATTCTCTCTTTTTCTCGTCGAGTTCCGTCTTCATGTTCTCCAGCATTTCTTGTTTCTCCTTCTCGTAGCTGATTTCTAATTCCGTCTTCATCTTCCTGAGGTTCTCGCTGTTGGCGTCGTCCATTCTCGTGACGAACGCCTTCTCGACCAGCTCCCTCGTCAAATCCTTCATCCTGTCCTCCACGTTCTCGTCCATCAATTTCTTCTGCTCTAAGAACTTTTCCTCCAACTCCTTCCTAGTTCGTTCCAGCTTCTCTTCGTATTCCTTCTTCAACATTTCAACGTCTTTTTCGTATTGTTCATCAAGTCTAATCTTGGTCTCCTCTAAGTTCTTGTACTGTTCCAATCTCCCAGCGATCTCGTTGCGTTCCCTTCGCGAGAGCTCGAATTCAGGATTGATCCTAGAAATGTCAGACGTATCGTCGTCGTCGGTCTGTTCAGTCCTCGAGAAGTCCTTCGATTTATTCTTCCTGCGCTCAGAGTCGCTATAATCGGTTTCGCTCTTCGAGACCAAGTCGATGTTCTTGATTTTATTGAATTTATTCGTGTACGTATAATCCAAACTGCTGTCTCTGGACAGGCTGTCTCTCGAGAGGATGTCTCTCGACATCTGAAGACGATGCTCCTTCTCAGACACGGCTTGAACACCAAACTTCTTCCGGTGTTCGTTCTCAGACACGTTCTGAACGACGAACCTCTTCCCGACGATCTTTCCATTCTTCTTCGATTCGACATTATATTTCATTTCTTCAACCTTGTCTTCCGCGTCTTCGTTCGCCTCGTCCGGGCTTTGAGAGTTCGTCTTCTGCAGAGAGGACCAATTTATGTCCTTGTTCGAGAGCAACGCGAGCATTTGCGAGTCCTGGTCTTCAGGGTCGGAGTCCGATTCGTCCTCGGACCTCGAATACGTGAACTTGATGTCCGCATCTTTCTCTATGTCGAACCGAACGCTCTTACGCTCTTCGTCCACCGGTCTGTCATCTATCGACGATTAAATAAAAAATATATATAATTGCTTAAGAGAATTATTGATTTATATTACTTACCATCCTCAGACTGCTTTTCCCTGAGAATCGACTTCAACTTGTCTCCAGTGTAGCTCTCGTCCGGGATTGTCACTGTCCTGAAATCGTCTAATTTAGTGCCTTCGTGACTAGGTGTAGTATCCCTGCTCCTGTTGCTCTTCAAGAACATGGTTCCACCACCGCTCAAAGTCAGCTCCTTCTGTTGACCGAGCTGACTGGGATGTTTCTCTTTGTCGAACTTCTCCGGTCTCTCTGACCTGGCCAGAGCATTCATACTCAGCTTGTCGATGTCGATTATGTTCTCTTCAGAGCTGAACTTGCTGGACAGCTGTTCCCAGTCCTTCTCGTGCCTCGGACTGAGCGACTCCGATCTCTTCAACACTTCCTTCAAATCTATCTCGTGTATCGGCGTGGTGACGTTCGAATGGGTGCCAGATGCGCCTGCCTCGAGTAGCTTCGGGCACTCGTAGAACTTGGGATCCTGGAACCTGAGGTTCGTGTAATCCCTGCCAGTCCTATTGGTAGCCAAAGGGTTCTCCATCCTCGATCTTTCATCCCTCTTCCTAGCTCCGTCGATTTTGTCTTTTTTCAAGGGCGCCAGTTTCGTGGGGATTCTCGTGGGCGGTGGATTCGCCTTGGTTGATTGTTTCGCGTTGTTCTTTTCCTTGGATAGAGTCGCCTGTTCGTGAGAATCGAGGTCCTTCGCTGTCGTCTTAGAGTCCTCCTCTGTCGAAAGAGTAGACATGATTTATCAAGGAATGTTTTATAGCGACGTGCGATAATCGACGTCGGAAGGGGGCGAGCCTGGAGGGGGGACGAGAGTCGATGCACCGAGGGATCAGAGGAACGCGCGAACTTTTTATCGCCGACGATGGCCCTCTCGAGAAAAAAAGAGACGACAGTGTCAACGTTCCCTTGAGAACGAGTCAACGACTCCCTTTTTTTTCTCCCTCCCCCTCTTTTTCCCGCGGCGAGAGGGTACGGCGATGAAACGGATAAGAAAATATGCCTGAAAGCCCGAAAGAGCGTGAGCGATTATTATGTAACAGCGAAGAGTGCATTCGCGGTGTTTTTCGCGAAATTCCTAGCAACGAAAACGACGTGCTGCCGACTGGTGTCTCGTAGAACTCGAGACAGGGTCGAGCTAATAAATTCATGCGAACGTTCATTGTTTTCCCTGTCTGGTTTTGGCGCGGCAACCGGTGAAGTGCTCGCGTTCGACGGACGACGCGGCTCGGATAATTGGACGGATCGCCGTTCAAGCGACCATTATACGCACTTTCACGAGCGAGCGCGCCGACACGTGAGTGCCTTAACGAATCTGACGTACGATACACCGAGGGGGGGAGGAGAAGCGAGCCCGAAAGGGTTTCGAGTGCCCTTTAGATCGACGCGCGCCCCATCGCCTCCGATCGGGAAAGAAATCGCGCAACAAATTCACTCGCGTGTAACTTTATTGCACTCGAGCCGGTAGAACGAACGGTCGCTGGCCCGCGTCTCGAACAATCATCCCGGCCGCAACGCGCGGCTTTTTACGAATCTCGCGAACAGATGTCAAAGTGCGTTACACACTGTTGACTCGTGTTATGTTATTTACGACGACGATACGTACATGGGAAGTAACAAGGTTGCCGCCGATGTAATCGATACCCGTCGCGCTCGTAAATAATTAGCGGTGGTTTGATTCCGGGTCGCGTTACACGCACGTGAATCGGCGTATTACATAAAACGGCGGATTAGCTAACGCGGCTGATTATTACGTGACGTTACGTAAAAATAAGAAAACGGAGCCAATAAGTCTCGGTTCTATTGCGGTCCGAGAAGAAAACGAACAAGTAGTTTCTACTAAATCAAGGTCTAGTGCAACGGAAATTGCGCAATCTAGACGTGCGGATGACGTGTGTACAAATAGGTTTTATCTTATCGGAATTGCTCGCTGAGTTGTCGCACATAATGTATCTACAGAGGCTTCGTTGATTGATTTACAGCCTCTTACTAATTCGTTTCTAATTCGTAACCTGCTTCTAAACTCGGCGCGCTAATCAGCTTGCGACAGTGATGCAATTCATGGAAACTTTCCTACTGGCTTTACAAAATGTTTACGTCTAATCGACAGTAATTTATTAATTATAATAATAGAAAAGGTGTATTGCTTGATTTTCGAAATTCTTGATTAGAATTGTATCTTATCTCGTTCAGTGCTGATAAGACCGCAGATATTAAGAAGTCGTTATCGCCTAAAAGCTTAAGAAGCTTCACAGTCAGAATGAAGAAAGCGTTTCCAGGGTTTGGATGTTTCCGCGTGCTAGGTTTAACCCTTTGCACGCCGATGTCGCTGTCTGGCGCAAAACGAAGAGAATGAAAATAAAAAAAAAATAGAAAAATAATAATCATGCCATTACGATTCTATGATGCGCATATCATGTTTTATTCATACACCATCTACATACATGTACAAAACGCGAATACGTGATTCCATAAATAATCTACACTCCGGTGTGGAGGGTAGCTCCGCTTAAAAAAATATTACATGCCCTCGTCAATTTCAATTCGTTGTGTGCCGTCGATCACAAAATTGGACAAGGTACAAAAAAGTATCCGTTAGTATATCACGTTCGTTAATCAGCTAATGTAGTCGATAGTCAGTCTTAGTCTCTATCAAAGCTCGAGTGCAGCGCAGCCAATGCGATTGATATCCAAGTGCAAAGGGTTAAATATCCTATATTTTCCATTCAGCCGATATCACGAGGCAATCCGTACCGAAGCTGATCTGCCTGAGGCTCTCGCCGGGCTTCACGTTCCCAGCCCTGGCCTGTTCGACCAGCTCCTTGTACACGGCGTCCAGGGGATGCTCCCAGGTCCGGTTTCCGGTGGAAGTTTGATAGTAGTACCAAGCTCTGCTGGCCTCGTGGTAGCACGGTAACCAGCCCTCTGGGAGGGCCGCCATCAGGCCCTCCTGGGCCAGGCTCAGGAGGTGCGGCTCCGTATCCGGGTCGATCCCCAGGCGCCTCGCATATTCGAGCACCTCTGCAAACACGAGCACGGTTAATTAATTATAACTGACAAATTAATATCCTAAATTAGGCTGATCGATCGTTTGGAAAAATTAGGTCGTAATATGGTGAATACGTGAATTATGCAAATTGACACGAACGAGTTCTAGTTTAATGGTCAATTCGCGTGGACAGCCGTTCTTCATTGTTTCTTTCTGAAGCGTGAAATTCGGTCAAGGACTCCGCGGAGATTAAACAGAAGTTTCTCCGCGCTCTGGCATTGTTTTACTTGAATTGTTTGGTGATAGAGCGTCGGTTAAGAATAGAGTTCTCTAACTAACGGGCGGTATTAACGCCTCGCTCGATAAGCATCGAAGAAAATATTAATAAACCCGGCGATTTTTCAAGGTTCTTTAGTCGTGTGCTCAGCGTAACGACGACGCTCATCGATTATAGACCAGGTGGAAGTACACGTGGCCACGCGGAACTGTCCCTTTGAACAGGGGGACGTCAAGAACTCTCTTTACGCATCGCGTGCTCAAACGTTTTCTACGTGCAAGCTAACGAGTCTTAACGCCGTTCATAGGAAAACATAGACGTTCCTTAATTTCTTATTTTATTACTAATAATATAGTCAATTTGCACGATCTTGAAATGGCTCTAAAACATCATCGGCCTTGGAGTCGAGCATGTTGAAAGCGAAGCCTGAAAATAACGAATGGTGCATAATGGGAAGTCTCGACGGTTGGGGAAGGAGGGCGATTAAAAATTCCATCATGGAAGTCTTTGACAGGTGCCAGGGCCGGGGGTTAACAGCCACGGAACATCTGGCATCCCCTTCGGTGGGCAAAATTTCGTAGCCATGGCAGTGGCAGCCAAACGCGATTTCGCGGTCGTTTCACGGAGGCTCACGCGAAACGAGGTCGCGATACGTGTCCAGCTCCGGTTTTTCGTACGCCCGGCAGGTATTGTCCTGCGGAATCCGACCGTCGACACGGCACAGCAAGTGGGGAGGTCCGCGAGACTTATGACAAAACTTTCGCCGCACTGCGGATCCTATTGATTTTCCACGGAGCGCTGGGGTACGGGAGCTCACTGCTCCCGTCCGACCACGGTGTAAATAAACAAGGAAACTCGCCACCAGCGTACGACCGTCTGACGTTTTATCTGTGACTTACGCTCCAACCCACACCGAAGGAAAATTTTCAACACGTTTCAAAATTTCACGCAACTTCAACCCCCGGAGCTCCATCCGCGTTCTCGTGGGGACAATAAAAATAATTTCATTGATGACACAAGCTTTCGTAAAAAATAGTCAGTACGGATATACGAGTCTATGTGTATGTGTGTATGTGTGTAAGATTTATAGCTCGGAATGGCGACCAGAGGAACGATAAGAAACTTCTTATGTCAATGCCTTGATAAAGAGGTTCACAGATGTATCTTGCAATCCCTCGTTATCGTTCGACGTTTTTATTAAAAAGACTGAATCTATTGTTCGATTATTGACCCAGCTAAATAGGTGTTCCGTGGGATGATTTAATTATCGGTACAGGGGTGAGTGAACTCGACTTAGCCGAGACAAATTGGCAATCGGTGATCTCTACGGTGCTATCGTTAAATATTGTAATAATGAAGGGAAATAGGAATTGAATAAAAGTCGGTGTGCGAAGAAATCACCCCGTGCTACATCGATCCTGGGTTAGAGGTCAGAGGGGGTGGAAATCAGTGTCTCGCTCGCACGTACCTTCATGGGACGGGTTCGAGGCTCCGTCGAAGATCTCCTTGCACACGATCGTGGCTGCGCTGTCTTGGGAAATGCTCATGCTAGCAGGAACAGCCGGGTCCCGGGTGCAGGAGGTTCACATAACGCGTCAGACGCGAGCGTGTTTCGGCCGCGGGCAACACACGGAGACGGGAACGTTCGCGTACGTCATTATTACGACTGGGAACGATTTATCGCGCGTGTCGCACGCGAGATATTCGCCCGCGCAGCCGAGACCAGGAGCCGTCGTCCGACGACAGTCAGCGTTTCAATTCGACTTGAACGTAGGCGGCCGAAGGAGGAGCGAGCTCTGCGAACGCGCAGCGCCCCCGCCAAGCGTGACCCCGAACTAGGCCAATGATAAGGAAACGAGTAACACAGCCGGCGGCAATTGTCTTATCGATTTCCATCGCGGGGCCACCTCCGTTCCCGTTCGGCGGGAAACACGCGCGCCGATCCGGCTACGCGGATTTCGTTAGAGATTCCCTTTTTTCCTGCGATTCTAGGCGCAGCCGAGAATTGGAGTGGAACGAGATGATACGGACGTGACCTCTTCTCCCGTGTTTCTCATTTCACCACTCAATTCAATTTCAAAGCTCCGAATCGTGTCTCAGGCTTATTATGGATTTTATGAAATAATTGCAAAAGGAGAAGAAATATGAAACATTAATAGAAATATTGTATAAATAATAACAGTACGATGGGTCGTAAAGGAATCGTGGAGAGTGAAACCGTCGGATTTAGCTGCCCCTGGTAGAGATGGCGCCAACGTGTGCTTAGCTACCCTTAAAATTAATACCTACCTCCCTAAACAACCGTCTGGTGAATTATTTTATTACCAAACGCACGAACTTCGTAAATGAAATCGGGGCCTTGATCACCGTCATTCAATGAACACTTGGCATTTACATACTTAAAAACCGTTTATCCATTCAGATTTATGCATTACCCGACGCTGCGTTTCATTACTTCGTATTCAGACATTTTTCTCACACCTTTCCCGTTATACATTAACATTTAAATCATCAATTACTGAGCAGAATTAGGAGTTAAACGCCAATGGACTCGGTTTTCAGCGTTACTCCAAGTTCTGTGAATAATTTACAGTATTTCTAGTTTTAATTTATGAATCAATTCTGTAATTTCTAAGACTAGTCAAATTCAATTGTAATAAGTGATTGCTTGAAAGAAATATGTAATTCTAAGTACTGTGTTTGTAAACGAAAGAAATTGCAATAAAGAAAATCAAGATTTATTTTGTACTTGATAATTAATTTAATTCGCAATTGTCGTCAATTTGCTAATGGAACATTTTTTGATTAAATGAATAATTCACTCATCATCACTGCTAGAATGTATTTAATCAAATGCGAAGAATCAGTCGTTCGTTCATTTTCATAAATGAACTAAATTATGGAATAAAAACCGAGATTCTTATATGGCGACTAAAATTGTTAGCCATGCAATCATTTTTTAAGAACGCTTATCAATTTCTCTCGTTCAGCTGTGATAAACAACGATTGTATGATTCGTGTATAGGTGAGAGGATGCAAAGAAGAAATTTGGCTCTTGTTACATTCTAATATAATGTTGTGCAATGGTTTTCGGTGAGCACGGATCGTCTCGGGTGACGGGAGCCTCTGAAAGAGGGCCGCGTATTTTCAATATCATTTTTCCATTTCCAGGATTGATAGCGGGCCGACGCGCGTCTCCGCGTTCCCAGCAACAACGGGAAAATAATGATCGGGCATCGATTGGGACATTTAAATTTCACGCCCTGTAGAAAACAACGAGAAGGCTCGCCGAATCATGTTAACGTTAACGACGCCCAGGATTCGCGAGCAGTTTCGTCGAACGTGGAAAATTAAATGATAATGATATCCTAACGGCAGGCGAAATACTTGCGGCCTTGAGCCGGGAACATTTATTTTTTTCTCCTCCCCTTTCGCCGGTTTCCCTCTGCCCCTCGTCCCGTTTCCCCACGTTCTCGTCCCTCTCCGCCCTTGGCTCCTACCCGCGTTTTTTGTTCTGTAAAAATCCTCGTTAACTCGAATCACGTTTCCACATAATATATATGCAAGTCGGTGCCGGCTTTCCACTTGTTTTTCCACGGGCTAAATAAATCGTTAAAGCTGGCTCGATGGCCGGGCGCAGGCTAATGGCGCGCCGCTTATTATTTCGCCGGCTCGACGTTCGGAGTCTCGACCAGACTTCGTTTGGTTACAAAAATTACGTTCAACGAAACGAACCCGGCACTCACGGTGGACAAAATGGCTGAAACGTACCGGCGAACGCGAGCTACCGCGTCGGAAAGTCATGTCAAAAGAAGGGCTCGAATTAAATACTAAAATATGACAGATGCCGTTATACGATGTCGGCTACGGTTGCCAACGTAATCGTTTTCCCTTCTCATTTTCGAGAGAGCAAACAGTGGCACAAAAGGATGATTACGATTGTTGTAAATCGGGACGGGGGACAAAAAAAAAAAAGGACGCGGACAATGGGACCAGGAATCCGATGAAGAAAAATCCGTTACGTAGCCATGATGGGAGAACGTAACAACCGAGAAATCACGTACATTACGGCGGGACAATAAATTCTATTGGTCGTTAGACCCTCGAGCTCGCGCCGGGGTATCCCCTGATCTGAGCTAACGCTGGTAATGTCGTTACCTTGTTAAATAAATGTCACAGCGGGAGGGTCGCTCGGGGCTGGCCGGTACGCGTACAAAAGACCAACCCCTAAAAATTGGGCCAACGTCCGCACACAGTCAAAATGGTGGACGTACGCGTCGCGTCGGTTGAGAAATAAAAGGCCACGGCACAAAAGGAGCGACCGGCCGCAATCTTCCTAGCAATGGCCGATTGCATCCTAAGCGTGGTGACTCGAGACACGAGATGATCCGCCGCTGATGAACTCGAAGCGCGATTCGTCACGCCGATCCCACGGCCTCACTTGGAGAACGCTTCCGAAATTATTCATTACTAGGCAAAAGGTATTCAGAATTCATTTATAATGGTTACTTCGTCGTATGTGAATTATAGTTACTGGAATAGTCTTATGAAATATATATTAAACAATTTTTATTAATATAAAATATTTATTAATCCATTGCTTCGTTTAGTTGACTCAATTCTAAAACAAGTAACTCTTATCTTACTTTTATGTATACTAAATGTCTCAATTTCTGTTCATGTTACGATTTCTATTTACTGCCTCTTTTTTCTTTAATTTTATATACAATCTTAAACGAGTAGTAATTATAACGTGAACAGAAATTAGGACAGTTGCTATATTTATGTATCTGAGCTTAGAATAATGAATCTTTGTTCTATTCTAATTAAATATAATCGAAAGAATGCAATTCTATTGAAATATTAATACTTAATATAGAACAATATAACAATATTTATTACAGAGGATTTATTGTGTTATGCCAATCTGAATTACTTTGTCGTAAGTCCTTTTTATCCGGAAGGCAAATAAGAAATCTTTTAAGCTCGATATAAATTACTTTCAAGTGATAGTGGATATAAAAAAACACTATTTATCAAAGAATGTATTTATTTATCAAAGAATATGAATGTGTACAAGAAATTCGCCATTGCGACGGCAAGCAATACTCCTGATTCCTGTCATACAAAATCCTGTTAATACTTTTGAATATACAATTAATCGGAGATTAATTAATTTTCTTTGACGCGAGGAACAATTTTTTAGGAAAATCGTTGGTTTATGACGGACGTGAGACTGTTTAGCTTGGCGATCCAACTCGTGTCTCCAGCATCAGAAATCCGATGGTTATCGGGAATGACAGTTTTCACGGTTTCAAATAATAACGCAATTCTTCGTCACCGGTCGAGATGTTTATCCGAAGCGTACGCGCGCACCTGGCAACAAATGTCCGTTTCTCACGCGACCGACAATGGAGATCACTATCTACATCCTTTGTTTGACCCGCCGTTTGATTCTCACTCGATAACCACGAAATGGACGTGCTAGATGGCAAGCGCATTAATTTGTTTAGGCATAACGATGCACTAATTGAGAACGATGCAGCCTTGCGAAAGACAATCGTCGCCAGTGGTTCGAACTGTCAAGGATAAAATTCTTTATATCGTCCGAGTGAGGAATAGTCGTTTTAATAATTACGATATTAATGTTCCATCTTTGCCATTTTTACAGAGGCTGGACAGGCAGAGCTAAGCTCATGATTTAGAAATTATTTGAGACATAAAACTATATTTTATTACTTAGTTTCAGTCTCTAACAGCACAATTTGATTTGAAGAAGCTGAAGAGGCAGAACTAAACACGTGAATTAAAAATTATTTAAAATGGAAACCTCTAACATTTTATTCCTCATATTCTGACAGCAGAATTTAATTCGAAGCAGCTGGGGAGACAAAACTAAACAAGAGAATTAAAAATTATTTAAAATGGAAACCTCTAACATTTTATTCCTCATATTCTGACAGCAGAATTTAATTCGAAGCAGCTGGGGAGACAAAACTAAACAAGAGAATTAAAAATTATTTAAAATGGAAACCTCTAACATTTTATTCCTCATATTCTGACAGCAGAATTTAATTCGAAGCAGCTGGGGAGACAAAACTAAACAAGAGAATTAAAAATTATTTAAAATGGAAACCTCTAACATTTTATTCCTCATATTCTGACAGCAGAATTCGATTCGAAGAGGCTGAAGAGGCAGAAGTAACGCAAATTATTTACTGTATAAAGCTACATTTTATTTGCTGGCAGCAGAATTCGAATATTTCGAAGACACAGTCTGAGATTTATCGAACAACACATATTGTTTTAATTCCGATTCAGTGGAAAGCATTGTCAAAGGCGATAAAAATATATGAAGACGGCGATTCATTTAAAACGATCGTCGACTGAAGACCACTTGCGACCGCTCCGGATGCAAGCCTCTCGCCGGGTGAAAAGCTCGGTTTTCCAAGCTCCATCGTCAATAATCCTTTTTCCACGGCGCCCATTTTTCAACGCAACGAAGCCCAAATAGGCGAGGAGCCCGTGGTGGCGTCAATTACGATCGTTAGGTATGAACGGCGATACAATGAGGAAGACGATCCGAAAGAAGGACTGGCGTCGGGAGCGTCAGGATCCTCCTCGAAGCCAGGACACGGTCGGACCACAGGAAGACCATTAGCACCGTATCATCGGCCCACGGAGAGTCTCAACGGTCTCTAGCCTTTAAGCGCCATTTTGCTTTTCAATTTTCACCCCGCAACGAGCGTCGTCGGCCCCTTCCTCCGGGGGAGAG